AATTTTGAAACTGCTTCCTTAATAATATTATTCATTAAATAAAAATGTTGCTTGCAATATCTATATATCTTTACCTACCGGCTCTTTTGTTAAAAGCGGTCTAGTAAATCACTTACCGACCGCTTAACAGGTCTGCAAATATATACCGACCTGTTATTGTTCTATTATTCTCTATACAATAGAAAATATGTGAAGTCGAGAAACGCATGCATTACACTATATTCACCGTTAACAGATATCCCGTAAGAAAATAACGCTGAAATGTGCAAATTCATAGGGGGAGGGGAGGTAATGACCACTTCAAATAGGAAAAAGAGTCTATATATATATATATATATATATATTTCACCAAATTAATATAAATAAATTAGCGCATACGGCTGTAAGGACCCTCAAAACATATATTCCAGATTATTTGTGAGACAACGAACTGGCTACGTATAACGGCGTTGAAGTTTGTGTTTCGCGATATTCTTGAGTACAATAACGCACATTTAGCCTTTCTTTATTGTTTGCTTTTCGTATACCTAACACATTTGCCGAACTATATAGCTTCATAAGATACTAGTTTTCGACATTTATTTCCACATCTATGTCTGATTTTGCACAATCCTGCATTATTTTAACAATTCTGCATCATGGGATATATACGACGATTTTATTATTGGTGCATATCGAATCAAAGTCAACTTCTGCATCTTTCTTTCCCAAAATATTACTTTCAGTGAGAAAATAGTTCATCTTAAGTATAAGACCGTTTTTTCTCATTTTCCCCAGTTTTTTTTATATTACAACTTTGGTTTAAACATATTTTATTTAGAATATTTGTACATGTGTAAATAACAACATAACAATAATTATAGATTTTGGCCGAAAGCAGAAGCTTATTACAACTTTAATTTTGTATACCAGTACATGCAGTACTCGCCTGTTCTTCGCAAGAATACGACTTGGGCTTCCATTCCAGACTGCGGTCTTATCAAACATATTAGTAAGGGATTATGCTAATTAAAAATACACCGAAAGAAAATTCTTCCAAACATGAATGAAATTCTAAGAATATCTAAAATCAGCCATCATAAAAAACAACAAAAAACCCAACTTACATGACGGTATATCTACGTGTTTTACTTATGTTTATTCATGGAACTCTGTCTTTTACTTTTCTTTGAAAGAATCGCATATTCTTATTATATTATAAATAGCCTGTTCATCTATTTACCATGAAATTAATTATATATACCAGTAAAAATAGTGTTCCGTTTTCATGATTAGAAAACTTTTTTTTTACTTCTTCAATATGTGTATATGTTATTATTATGTTTTGTATTCATTTATCAAAATAATGATCTTACCTTTGCCTACTTGAAATAGAATCTCAACAAGTTCTGTTTTCATTTTCTGTTACTCAACTCAACAAGTACATTTACTTGACCTTATTACATAATGAAACCCCACGAAAAACACGAGAATATTTAAATAACACCTGATTTGTGAACGAATGAATTTACAAGAGCGTAGCGGTTGGTATCTTCGAATGACTTTGGAAAGCTTTCTTAAACACGACGAAGTACATAAATAATTTATTTCTTGTGAGTAATATTAATAAATACTGAGTTTAAAAATGATGTATGGATAGAAAAACAAAAGAGCATGTAGGTAAGATAGTTACCGCACTCGGAATAGGTCTGCATAGTATTTACAGACCCGGTGGCCTTTTAAAAACCTCGATCGCTACGCTCTCTCGGTCTTCAAATCGCCACCCGGGTCTGTAAATACTATGCAGACCTATTCCTCGTACGGTAACTATTACATATTGTCTGCGTTTCTCGCAGGTACTATATACGCTATATCGTGTGCATTTTACTCTAGGTTTGTGACATAGTTATTATTTTGATTGCAGTTTAACAGTTGAAGGGTAAACACAGTTCACGGAGAGATTGTTGTTTGTGTGAGCAGGTCCATAACTTGGTAAGTTTATAAACTATGTATTTGTGTATTGTATTTATTATGTAAATACCTTTTAATGTATAAATTGAGTATTTTATGTTCAGCATAGAATATTGAGATATCTGGATAATGTTGATTATATTAAGTGATGAATGATTAATGGACCACTTGGCACACCAGAGTATTTTGATATACATTGTATGTATATTATTACTTCTTGATTATGTATTTGTAACATTGTTGTTGTAATATTATGTACATGATAGTTTTCAGGCTTTAGACAGTATTGTATTATTTGTCATTTGATTTTATTGTGTATTTGCAGGTCACTGACTTTATTCGACTACTGTAATGCTGTATACTGAGCACTGTGTCCTTTTATGATAGACTGTAGTGTATTTGAACTTGAACAGTGACACATTTACAATTTAAAGAAAATAAAAGAAGAACCCAGAAATACTTGGTTGTATTTACTTATTAAAATAACCATAGTTACAAATGGCGCCCAACGGTATCAAAGGCATATCAAAGGTATATTTACTTTATTTGAGATCAATATCATAATACTTGTCTTCAGAAGGAAAGGTTGATCAGTCTATTGGTTTGTTTACATTTGTTTGCTGGCAGCCATTTTGTAATATCTGACCTAACATTTTCATTGGCTGTTTCGATTGGAATTTGTGGTTCACCCTGCATATTAATTAGCCCGCTATAATTGAAGCTTTCTCATTGGTTGACATGGACTGACCTGATGGACTACTTTTTGTGTAGTTTCTATTAATAGTAGTCAATACACTTGAAATTACTACACAGGTACAGAAAGCACATTTGTTTACAAGTCAGTTCTTTGAATTTGTGTTATTCTAGAGTATTTGTTTGTAGTATTTAAAGGTAATTATTAATTTTGCAGTAAAGGATAAGTTATTTTTTCATTTCAATATTGCTGTTTGGTTGATTATTACATAAAATTTAATTATTAAACAAGATATAAAAAAAATTAATTAGTTTTATTTTGTGCAACTGTAGATTTGACATAAACATATAGGAAAGTTTATATAAATATTACAAGGTTTTGCTTGATTTTTGATAACATTGAAGATTGAATATTCATTAATAGCTTGTTATTTCTGATAAAATTGGCCTTTTTGTGAATTAAAAAAAAATCATTAGAAGAAATTTAGTATTATTTGTGTCATGTAAAACTCATTGAACCGTTAAAGGTGTAAGTTTACTAAGTATATACCGGTACTAGTATTGATTAGTGTTAGTATAAAAGTTACACTTTAATTTTTATAAGAATATTTTAGATAATTTTGTTTACCTCACTTGATAGAAAGAGAAACTTAAAATTTATTATATTTGAATTAAATTTTTGAATTGAACTTTGAACATTTTCGCAAATATAACTATATACTGATAATAAGATATAAGTGATAATTAAACTAATTTTTTATTTTTGCATTTTGACAGGAACAGGATACTTTATTTTGATAATTAAATTTTTCATCTTTGAATGCATTGAGTCGTTTATAAATTTTGAATTGATCTTAATAATTGTTGACTCAAGGTATTGAAAACAATTGATTAGTTTTTGAGTGTGAACTTATGTTAAGTGGATAAAAAGAACTTAAGTTAAGTTAATTATTTTTTTTTTATTATTTTAAGTCAAAGTGATTCATTACTTGAGTTGATTGGCGTGATTACTGAAGTTATGAAGTGAACAGAATAGAACTGATTACTGAAGTTGTGAAGTGAACTGAATAGAACTGATTAATGAAGTTGTGAAGTGAACTGAATAGAACTGATTACTGAAGTTGTGAAGTGAACTGATTACTGAAGTTGTGATTATATGTGAAGTGAACTGAATAGAACTGATTACTGATGTTATGATGTGAACTGAATTGAATAGATTACTGATGATGTGAACTGCATTGAATGATTATTGATGTGATGTGAACTGAATTGAATTGATTATTGATGTTGTGGATTGTGACATGAACTGAATTGATTTCTTAAGTGAAGTGAATTGAATTAAAGTGATCACTTAAGATAGTGAAAAGGATTGAGATGAATATATAAGTGAGTGAATTGAATTAAAGTGATCACTTAAGATAGTGAAAAGGATTGCGATGAATACTTAAGTGAGTGAAGTGGATTGAAAGGATCACTTAAGATAGTGAAAGGATTGCGATGAATACTTAAGTGAGTGAAGTGGATTGAAAGGATCACTTAAGATAGTGAAAGGATTTAGATGAATACTTAAGTGAGTGAAGTAGGTAGATAGACATTGATACTTAAATTGAGTGAAGAGGATATTTATACTTAAGTGAATCGACATTAGGTGAATTGAATACTTAAGTTACTTAAGTGAATAATTCAATACTTATGTTGAGTGACATGGATATTTATACCTAAGTGGATTGACATTACATGGAGTGAATACTTAAGTGAATAACTCAATACTTAAGTTGAGTGACATGGATTTTTATACTTAAGTGGATTGACATTACATGGAGTGAATACTTAAGTTAAGTGAATTGAAAAGTTAAATGAAGTGAACTGGATATTTATATTACACATTTCGGATACTTAGATAAAGTGAAGTGGACACTTAAATGAGCTTTTGGATAGTACTTAACTGAGGAAGTTGACATTGATACTTAAGTAAATTACTTAAGAAAAGGAAAGTGAAAGAGAAGTGGAAGAAGAGTTTGATACTTAAGTGAATTACTTATGTAAAGAAAGAGACTTATGTAAATGAATTAAGCTGAGTTAAGTGACACTTAAGTGACTTATTAAGTTAACAGAGGAGACTTACATAATTGAAACAATCTGCGTTGAGTGACACTTAAGTGAACAATTTAAGTTACAGAAGAGACTTACTTTATTGAACCAAACAGAGTTGAGTGACAATTAAGCAAATTACTTAAGTTGAGGGAGATACTTAAGTTAAGTGAACTTAGTGAACTTTTATACTGATTTTAGTGAATTTTATTTTGTGAGTGGACTTTATTGAAAAGAAAGGAATAAGCAACTACATATTTACAAATATGGCTACAGGGAAATATGGAAAAGCTGCTGATAGTATTTCAGAGGAGGAAAAACAAATTTTAGAAGTTTTTCATAAATTGTCATTAAAACCAGAGAAAATGGAAAGTCCGGATGATTTAATTGCTTTTGTGGACCAGATTAAACTGTTGAAATCTGCATCATCTACAAAATCAGTACCAGCAGAAGAAACATTTTCATCAAAAGGCAGTAATCATTTTCCAAAACTATCAACTTTCTATGGAGAAGATAACAAGGGAGATGTCAGTTGGGAGACTTTTAAATTTGAAGTAGATGCATTGATGGCTGAAAAGTACTTTACAGATGAACAAATTTTACTTGGAATTAGAAGATCAGTGAAAGGAAACGCAAGCAATGTTGTTAGAAGATTAGGCAAAGGGGTGACAATACAAGAAGTTATGATCAAGCACTTTTGGTAACATTGAGACGAGAGAAAGCATCCTTAGAAAATTATATTCTATAAAATAGTCTTCAGATTCAGTGTTGGTGTTTAGCTCAAAATTGGAGGAAATATTTACACAAGCTGTCAACTTAAAGGCATTAAAGAAAACTGATGATGAAATCTTGAAACAAGTTTTATATCAATGATTGAGACCAGAAATCAAACAGTTAGCTGCATATAAATGTGATGCAATTGACGATTATGATGAATTCAAGATTGAGCTACGAAAGATTGAGGCTGAACTTAAGTCAGAGACAGAAGGAACTCATAAGAAGTGTAACGCAGCTATCAACATAGAAAAGAAAGAGTCATCAGAGATGAAGAAACTCAATGACAGGATTGACATCATCGAAAAAGATAGAAAGCAAGATACGTATCCTGAATATCAACATCAATATCCTAGAGGTTACAGAGGTCAAGGTAGAGGATTTAATCAAAGATATATGTATGGTAGAGGCAGAGCTGAAGTACGACCATTTAGACCAACTGGCAGAGGTACCTTTTCACCAACTTGTTTCAACTGTAACGGGAAAGGACATTTAGCCAAGAATTGTTCTTCAAACATACCAACATGCTACAAATGCAACGAAAATGGACATATCGCCAGAACTTGCCCAAAAGAATAGGTGCTTTTGTTATAGGATCAAAAGAAAGCACATGTAATGATGACAAAGATCCTAAATTAGTTGGACATACAAATGAGGTGAAAATTGATCTAGAAACTACAGCACTCTTAGACACAGGAAGTTGTATCAGTGCAATATCAAAGTCTTTTTATGATAAACATTTACAAAGTGTACAACTTAAACCGCTATCGGATCTTCTTCAAATAGAATGTGCGAATGGTAACCAGCTCCCTTATGAAGGATATGTTGAAATCAACATGACAGTTACTCGAGGACTACCAAATGTGACAACACATACTTGTTTATTTCTGATTACACCAGACACAAGATTCTCTTTCAAAACTCCAGTCATCATCGGAACCAATATTTTAACAGAACTCCTCGAAGAATGTAAACAGAATTTTGGCGATCAATATCTACAAAGAGCAAATTTATATACACAATGGTATCTATCCTTCAGATGTATTTCGATGAGAGAAAAAGAGTTAAAGAAACATAAAAACAGAATAGCAATCATCAAATCAGCAGAAACCAAAAACATTATTCTCGGACCAAACGGTTTGAATCAGAAGTTATTTTAGAAGAAACAGGTAAAGAATTAGACTTCAACTTCACGTCAGCAATGATTTATGAATCAGAAAATAGCAGTTTACCAAGCTACTTAGATATTACTCCAGGTGTGATCGATTACCATTACAACAAGAATAGACCAATTCATGTTTCCCTGTCAAATTTAACAACTCACAGTGTAGTTATTTCACCAAGATCTGTTCTCTGTGAACTTCAACCTATTAAAATAGAAGAAAATTTAATGAAAGATATACAACAACAAGATGATGTAAAGAATATTATGGAAAAGATCACAATAGATGACAACAAGAAACTTACAGAACAAATTCAAGAATTACTACTGAAACATATACACACATTCTCCAAAGATGACTCGGATATAGGCAACTGTCCAAAAGTTAAACATCGAATAGACCTCATTGATGACATACCGTTTAAACAACCTCATAGACGAATTCCTCCAAACATGGCAGAAGAAGTAAGGAATCATTTATAGCAACCCCTCAACACAGGAATCATAAGGAAATCTAAGTCACCCTGGGCATCTAATATTGTTTTAGTTCGAAAGAAGAATGGTTCATTGAGGATGTGTGTTGACTTTCGACAATTAAACAACAAATCCGTCAAAGATTCTTATGCATTACCACGTATTGAAGAGGTTTTTGATGTATTACACGGGTCAAAAATTTTGTCTACATTGGATATGAAATCGGGTTATCACCAGGTAGAAGTTGAAGAAATTCATAAAGAAAGATTTACGGTAGGACCTTTAGGATTTTTCGAGTATGTAAAGATGCCATTTGGACTTTCAAACTCACCAGCAACGTATCAACGTCTAATGGAAGAGGTACTTGGCGATTACAACATGACCATATGCGTAATATATTTAGATGATCTGATTATTTTCTTGGAAACTTATGAACAACATTTGGAAAGGATTGATATGATACTTACCCGTTTACATGACAACAACTTAAAGCTATCTCCAGAGAAATGTCATTTTTTCCAAGGCCGTGTACAATTTTTAGGCCACGTAGTGAGTCCAGATGGAATTGAAACTGACCCATTCAAAATTGAAAAGATTAGAAATTGGAAGACACCTACCAACGCTGATGAACTTAGATCATTTATTTCATTTTGTGGATACTACAGAAGATTTTTCAAGAACTTTTCCAAGATAACTTAACCATTAACAGATCTATTGCCAGGCACTTCATCAAAGAAAAAGAAGAAATCAGTGAAAGAATGGACATGGACGGATACAGAACAACACATTTTTGATGATCTTAGAGAAAAGCTGACACAACCAACAGTATTAGCCTATCAAGATTTCAAAAGACCATTCGAGTTACGTACAGATGCGAGTGGGGTTGGTTTTGGAGCTATTCTTTATCAAGATGGTAGAGTTATATCATATGCCAGCAGATCATTGACCAAATCAGAGAAGAATTATTCAGCCTTCAAGTTAGAGTTTTTGGCGTTGAAGTGGGCCGTAACCGAGAAATTTAAAGACTATCTTGCAATACAACACGTTACAGTTCTTACCGACAACAACCCCTTGACCTACATACTCACATCAGCAAAACTAGATGCAACTGGACATAGATGGGCATCAGCATTGGGTGAATTTAACTTTGATATCAAGTATAGAGCTGGTTATAAAAACATTGATGCAGACGTTATGAGCAGACTTCCTGGAATAGACAAAACAGATGGAGATACTTTTATAATGAACAACTCAGCAGTGAAAGCCATATGCAACTTAACAACTACCACTCCTTTGATAGAGATTTTACCTGCTTTTAACATCTATATTGTAGAAGTGACAGAAGACATTGGAAAACCTTTAGCACAGATTGAATATTGAGAAATTAGAAAACAACAAAGAGCAGATCCTTTAATAGAGAGATGGAGAAGAGCTACTATCGATAACATCTTGCCAGGTAAAAGCCAATGCCTTACTAAAGAAGATTTCTACATGAGAAAACAATTCAGTTCTTTTAAGATGAAAAGAGGCATACTTTATAGAGAATGGAAGACAGATAAAGAACTCTCATATCACCTAGTACTACCTAGACAATACAGGAATGAGGTGTTAACAGGACTACACAACCATATAGGACACCCTGGAAGAGACAGAACTTTATCCTTATTAAGAGAGAGATACTTTTGGCCACGCATGTCAAAAGATGTTAAAAAACTGGGTATCAAATTGCGAAAGATGTCAAAGAAGGAAGTCAAATGTAAACACCAGATCAGAACTTGTCAGCATTGTCTCAACTTACCCTTTAGAACTGGTTTCAATGGATAACCTTACATTAGAGTCATCAAAAGGATATGGGAATATTTTAGTCATAACAGACAACTTTACAAAATATGCACTGGCAATTCCTACAAGAAATCAAACAGCCAAAACAACAGCAGAAGCTTTATTTAACAACCTTATTGTACACTATGGAATACCAACTAAACTACACACAGACTAAGGAGCTAACTTTGAATCAGAATTAATTAAAGAACTATGCCAGATAATGGGAATTAAAAAGACAAGAACGACTCCTTATCACGCTATGGGTAACGGATGCACTGAGCGATGGAATAAAACCTTATTAAGCATGTTAGGAACTTTGGAACCAGAGCAGAAACCAAATTGGAAAGATTACATCTCATCATTAACATATGCATACAACTGTACAAGACATGAGAGTACCAAAATATCACCTTTCGAGTTAATGTTTGGAAGGACTCCTAAACTTCCTATAGATTCAGCATTTGAAACAGTAATGGATGAAGCTGAAACATCAAACAAGACACCCATAGACTATTTGAAAAACCTGAAGATACAGATGAAACAAACTCAGGAAACCGCTTAAAACATGCTGATATTTCAAGAGGTAAACAAAAGACACAATATGACAAGAAGGCAAAGGCATCAAAAATTACAGAAGGAGATACTGTTTTAGTAAGAATATTCAAGTTCAATGGCAAACACAAGATAGCTGACAAGTATGAACAACAACCCTATAAATTGATACAACAGATAAGACCAGACATACCAGTTTTCAAACTCAGGTCAACTGATGGAATTGAGAAAGTTCTTCATAGAAACCACCTTCTGTTGATTGACAGCAATGATGAACTGAATGAAACAAACTGGAGACCTACACCAAAACCTAGAAAAACAACACAAAACAATGACTCAACCAAATCATTGTTACCAGATTGGAGAGAGAAAGACGAGATGAGTTCAGATGATGAAGACTCAGATGACAATGTAGATACTACATTTCATGGTGGGGACGCCCACTTATCGAAGAAAGTAAAGAAAGGAGGAGAGAGTAAGGATGAAAATGCAGCTGCAAAGGAAGAAGAAGAGAAGGAACCATGTACTATCAATCATGTTGAAACTGTTGCTGAACAGACAGAACAGACAGAAACAGAAGATCATGATGAAGATGAGGTAGAAGAGATTCAAAGTATAGAGGGTGATAGGTCAGAAGAAGAAATTGAAGATGACAAACATACATTAAATATTACTGAAGAAGAAGCTCGAGAAAACATACAAACATCAAATAGTCCTGAAGAAGCTCAAGAAGACGTACAAATATCAAATAGTCCTGAAGAAGAAAATCAAGAAGACAAACAAACTAGTCCTGAAGAAGAAAATGTCGCTCCAGTAAACAAAGAAGAATCCCAAGATAAAGTAGTTATTCCAAAAGTGAGAAGATCAGTTGACCAAAGACCAGAACAACTATATGAGCCAAAACCTAAAAGATCTAACAGAGGGAAAAGACCAGAGAAATACAAGGATTTTATTATGTTCAGTATGAACATGGACACAAGACCAAGAGACAAGAAGTTAGAATCACTGGAAATTCTCATGAAATCAGGGATATTTACCAGCCTCGATACAGATACAGTCCATAAACTAATCAATTCAATTATGAAATAGTTCGTGTAATTATGATTGCGTTTAATCATAATAATTAACTTTTTCAAGAACTTCATGATTTTGCTTCTTTACTTATGGTATTGAAGATTACTTGACTTGAAATCAAACATTTAATTATTTTTGAGATAATTGATTTTAATGATATTTTTATACCTAAGTTTATTTTAGATTTTTGTATGACTGAGATTTGTGGAAATTAATGTTTTCCTTAAGTTACATTAAATTTTTTCCAAAGATTAAGATCTTTCATGAAGATTTAAGATTTTTGAGCTGGAGTAGTTTGTAACTGATTTAATATTCAATAATTGACTATACATTTTTTTAAGCTATTGTTTTTCAAAAAGAGTTAATCTATTTTTTTTATTTCATTGTGAGGCCACCATTTTTTTTCAAGGGGAGAAAATGTAAAGATTTATTGATGATTTTTTTAAAGTAAGTGAATAGACTGGCAATATTGAAATGATTATATAAATGACCTTGTAGTGTAGATGTATGTTACCATACTTACTATGTATTTATAGTTGTAGTGACATAAATAGTTGTATTTATGTATGTAAGGACTTTGACATTTGACAAATGACGAGACGTCATTTACCAGAGAGAGGGGGGGGGGTGTGGCAGGGTCTTATTTAGTGGTCTAAGTCCTATTCATTATTTATTTAGTTATCTTCAACTTTGGTTTTATCTCTATTCTGATTGGTTGATAAAAACTACTCACTCAAGTAGAGCGCAATGTTTGATACTTGTGGAAGACATGTTGATTGATTTTGGAATTGAATTGTTTTAACTATTTGTGGATTACTTTGGTATGTTTTTTATTTGTAAAATGTATTCATATATGCAGTATACTTGATTCTTCATGTGGAGTTGTTAGCATTTAAGTAAATGCTTTCTGTAAGCGTCTGTGACTCATTTTATTTATTGACATAAAGCGAGTATACATGTACTTCAAAATGGCAGTAATTAATCTAACAATTATTAATTATAATATAACATCTTAACAATGTCACATTCCTGAAACCTGTGCACATAATTCTTATTTTGATTGCAGTTTAACAGTTGAAGGGTATACACGGAGAGATTATTGTTTGTGTGAGCAGGTCCATAACTTCACACTGGCCATAGCTTTCGCAGAAGCGGTGGGTCTATCGCAGCGGCGGTGGAGTATTCGTCGCAGAAGCGGTGGATAAAATATGGCCGTTTGCTGTTGTCGGTAGTATATGACAGAATTTTGTTATATGTTTTAATGTTTTACTGGAAACACTCAGTGAGACTGGCTGGCGCCCACATATGTACTCTTTCAACCTATTACACGGACACGGTGCAATTCATTGCCGTTTATGCAAACACTTCTGTACAGTTTGACGGAGGGGACGCCACTTCTTATGGCTGAAGTAATTTTCAATGGAAGGAAAATGAAAGCGGACCTCGGACATATATTTGTACAAGAGTATATATAATAATTAATATCGTTTTAAACATCAAATAAACACGTTTCTCAGATGTCAAAGTAAGAAAAGGGCTGTACTCAATTGAAAAATGCCTTACGTCAAGTTAAATTCTTAAAATATACAAAAATGGTATCGAATCCACCGCCGTCTGCGACGAAAACATTTTTTGTCATTTATTTTATAAACAGGCAATAATAATTTCCCAATTTTCCAAATTATGGTTAATTTGTGAAAGTATCATTGATTCGATGTGATGTCGATGTATTACTGGGTCGTTTTGCACACATTTGTATGTGTTTTAACCAAAATTAGGCAAAAGTGGCGTCCCTCCGTCAAACTGTACAGAAGTGTTTGCATAAACGGCAATGAATTGCTCCGTGCCCTTGTAATAGGTTGAAAGAGTACAAATGTGGGCTCCAGTCTCACTGAGTGTTTCCAGTAAAACATTTAAACATAAAACAAAATTCAGTCATATACTTACCGAAAACAACAAACGGCCATATTTTATCCACCGCTTCTGCGACGAATACTCCACCGTCGCTGCGGTTGACCCACCGCTTCTGCAAAAGCTATGGCAAGTGTGAACTTGGTTAGTTTATTAACAATGTATTTTTGTATTGTATATATGATGTTAATACCTTTTTGTATTTTATATTCAACATAGAATATTGAAATATGTGGATTATGTTGACTACCATAAGTGAAGAATGATTAATAGACCACTTGGCACACCAGAGAGTTTTGATATACATTGTATGTATAGATCAACTACTACTTCTTGATAATGTATTTGTAACATTGTTTTTTGTAATATTATGTACATGATAGATGTCAGGCTTTAGACAGTATTGTATTATTTGTCATTTGATTTTATTGTGTATTTGCAGGTCACTGACTTTATTGACTACTGTAATGCTGTATACTGAGCACTGTGTCCTTTTATGATAGACTGTAGTGTATTTGAACTTGAACAGTGACACATTTACAATTTAAAGAAAATAAAAGAAGAACCCAGAAATACTTGGTTGTATTTACTTATTAAAATAACCATAGTTACAGGTTTATTAGCAGTATAGAATATATAGTAAAATGCAGACAATATAAAGTATATAGTAATAGTTATAAAGATTGTTGACAGGTTATATGGTCCTATATAAACGGCTGTTTGTAAATATAACCCGAGCCGCAAGGCGAAGGTTATATTGCAAACAGCCGTTTATATATGGCCATATTACCTGTCAACAATCTTTATAACGAATTTATAATACAGCAAACATTATTTTTTAGAGAAAAAAACTAAGATTTCTTCATGAATCGACAACAGCCGTGTATATTATATGTTATTTTAGTTTTGGAGTGATATATGTGGATATATTACCTGTCAAGATTTTATATCACCCGAACCGTTACACGAGGGTGATATTTTATCTTGGCAGGTAATATATCCAGTTTGAAGTTTGGAGTTTGAACAACTTACAAACTCCTCACAGCGGTTACGTTACGCTTTGCTACTTTAACCACTGCCACCACTGAAATCACGTGACGATAGTTGTATCATGTGACAAAAACATGGCGGCCAGTTTAAGAACGCCAAGGACCCCATATCAAACTGGCAGATTTATAATTACATTCTTACCAGACAAAATATGTTCAAAACACACAATTTGTTTAAACTTTAAAACAAGTGCCGGGTCAAATCTTTTACGCTATCGTTCAATAAATGTCTAAATTTTGCCATTGTTTACTATACATACGGTGTCACAGTGAAAATATATTTCGTTATGTTTACAAAATAATTTTTATGCATATATTTTTTTACATTCTTGTACATTAAGCATAACTATTTAACGAAAGAAAACTAAAATGATATAAAGTATTCTATTTTAAAATTAAAAGTGAAAAAAATATATCCGGCTATATTCGACCGAATTTACTTGTGGTGGCAGTGGTTACTGTACTGATCAGGGGAAGTAACCGCTGCGAGGAGTTTGAACAACTTACACTAGAAGCCATTTTGATTTTTAGCAGTTGCATTGTGGTAAATGATGAGTCAATTACGGGTCAGACTACCCTATTGTTTTTACTTCCATATGCTTATGTTATAGGCATGTGTGGAGGTCACTGTCAAAGGCTAGGCTTATAATTTTATCATCGATTATACTAAATAATGGTCCTTTGTTAAAAGATTGTGAACTTTTTTTGTATTAAGGATAATACATGAAGTTTACTAATTAAGGTCCACAATCATTGCATGGATTTTGACTTATTTATGAACATTTTCAACTTACAAAAATGTATGGTTAAAATTGTGCATGCATCATCAATATTCAAAATTGCTGAGTGTATTAAATGAAACAAAACTTCATTCATGTCTTGAAATTAAAGTTCCTTACAAAGACCCATAACCTTGACATGGATTTTAACTGAAAAATGCCCATTTTAACAGAATTAAATAAAAGCTTGTTCACAAAATTACAAAAGCTCATGAGTGATGATATATCTTGTCTTAAATCAAAAGACACCTTCAACTTAACATTTTCTTATCTTATTAATAAAGTCATTTTCTTATCTTATTAATGAAGTTATTAATTGATATTGTATTAACAACCAATTTGTATATTTGAGTCTGACTGGTTTGTGCATGCACATATCAATAGGCTATCTTATTTCCTCATTTCAATAGATATATGTCTTAAAATGTCTGAAGAAGAAAATGTTAAGTGTTTTTGTATATTTATCAAACAATTATGATATGAAGTATATTTAACAAACAGTATAAATTGCAGTATACTATAATGCATAGTATAATTTTATTCAACTCGTGCAATAAATTCAGTATTGAACTTACACTCATTCAATATCCTCTATTTATCACACACCTGTTGCTGGTGACGGCGTTTAAGTTGACGTTGGTAACGACGTCGTTTAAAAGTACGACGTTGTTAAAAAGTACGTCAGATTGACTAAACGGAAAATTATTTTGCTTAACATAATTATCCTGGAAAAATATTTTCAAATAAGACAATGCATGCAAAATTGATTATTCAAATAATAAACAACGTCGTTCACATATGTGTGCACAGTCTTTTTTCCAGTATACTATATTATCACACACCCGTGCCGATTTTGCGACTCCGTAAATATGGTATTGCACGGCCGTGCATATATTTTGACGTGACGTCATTAGCGTTATACAAACATAGTGTAAAGACGCACGACATGTTAGCGTTATACTATAGGCGAGTCAATTAAAAATGACTCTTTTTTCACTTTAAATGGTCTTTATTTTGGGTATGTGATAAATAGAATATTAAATTCGTGTAAGTTCATTACTGAATTTATTGCACTCGTTGAATAAAATAATATTATGCTCGCCAGAGGCTCGCATAATATAATTTTATTCAACTCGTGCAATAAATTCAGTATTGAACTTACACTCATTTAATATCCTCTATTTATCAATTTTTAGATTTTCAGTACATAGATTTTTTTTTATTGTATTTCCAGCGGAAGAGTTACTCTTCTCTTGTAGGTAGCGGGCACGTTTCATCTTGCGAATTTTGTCGCACGTATGGACGTACAGATCTGTATAAGTACATCTGTCTTTCAAATGAGAGACCGCCTGACAGTAGTACAGGTGGCATTTGTTCTGCAGTGAACGTAGTGTCCGAATATCGTAAGAGTTTGAACGATCTTTCGTCACCATCGGGAGTTTTCCTCACAGTTACCTCGCCAGGTCTATTGTGCTCAATTCTGGAAGCATGGATTGAAAATATATATTGAAATACTAATTTATACTTTCACAAAACACTTATGCATAAGAAAGTGGCTAGCCGTACGGACCCAAACTGCTAGCGAAAAGTTAAGCAGTCGCGCACGTCTAGCCTATACGCACTGAACTGCGCTGTATCATGAACAGAAATTTTCTATGTCCGCTATTAAAAGTGATCAAGATAAAAATTCATTACAACTGTATTACGTCTATAGACATGATTTAATAATGTTTCAGTTTATTTCTCCTGTACTTTCGCACGGACTTTATCAAAATCAACTTCCGATCATCAAACGCCAAAAATAATATATTTACGTAACGTTAATTGTTAAAGTTTTCGTGATACTCAAGAAAAGAAAGTTTGCATTTTTTTTAATGTCGTACGGCTAGCCTCAACAGTGTGTATAGGCTAGTCGCACGTTACTAAGGTATGGCTAGAACTTTTGGCTAGCAACACGGGCCCGTACGGCTAGCCACTGCCATTTCATAATAATTTCAGAATGCAACGTAAATTTATTGGTAAAGAATGATAAAAGAAAATCTTTATAAAAAGTATATATTAACATTGACACCTGAAATGTTGATATGATGAAATTCCCGGTAGGGCTTTGTAGTACTGATTAAAGTATGTCTTCCAGTCAAACCATGTCCATTCTGGGTAGCTCACTGATTCGTTAACGGTTGAAGACTTGTTTACTTGATTTACAAGATCAAGCAAGGAATCTGCATCACATCGCCTACAAAGAGTAAACGTTCTCGAATTTAAAGCTAGTAAAGGATTAATACCGACGTAACTATACAAAGTGTCGCCCGAAATATATGGACAGTGACTGTTCCATAAACAGTATGTAGCCATAGATATAGAAAACCGTATATATGATATATATAATAAACCCTGATGATAAAATAAAATCCAGTATGAAAAAGATATGGATATTTTAACGGTATTTTAAACAATTATAGTAATGAATTCTATTGACCTTCTAATCAGCTATTAGAATTAGCAAACACACCTGTATAATCTCTTAAAATTTGCAAATCCAGCGTCTACAAGACATCTACTGTGACCAGGAATCTGCATGTGTAGGTCAATTCTTTTGTGCAGTCCTGTCATTACACGCCATGAAAGATAGGCTAACACATATCTGTTTTTGTTTTGTCCTATAAAAGGAATGATTTACGGACATAATGTGTAAATTTTGGCAATAATTTTAATTAATTTATTCATTTATTTTATGAACTTTACTGGTTTCATTCATATATTAATTAATTCATTCATTCATTCATTCATGCATTCATTCATTCATTCATTCATTCATTCATTCATTCATTCATTCATTCACATTTTATTTATACATTTACATAGGGACTCAGTACATAGTCTGCGTGATCGTAAACCAACAAATCAAAAAAGAATCAATTCATAAATTGCAATTAAAACATATTTTCTATTTATCAATTAGCTTATTTAGTTTGTCTCGATTATTTATTTCAATAAAGAGTTCCTACAAAAAGGTTGAAAAAAATCAAATACCAGCGCAGTTATCAGCATGTAATGAACAATTATCTTCCTGTTTACCAACGCGTTGGAAAGCATGGTGCATCATACTAATAACAGCATTTGGACCGTGTGACAGCTTTCCGTCTACGCCGATGCACTGGCTCTCATCAAAAAATGCTGGCACAAAAATTGAAATAACTTCATTATGGTATAATTTGCACATGCGTGCATTTTTAGAATGTGTAGAACGTTTATCTAATAATGTCTTTGGACGAGAATCTACTTCCGTTACTTATTTTTATAAAGTGTTTTTTTTTTAGTTGCAGTATGATAATGTAATTCAAATGTTTGGTAATTTATCACTGGCCAGCCGGTGTCCGTAGATTTATTCATGCGTGTTTGAAATTCAACCATAAATTACTGAAAAGGCGCGTTGAAAATTGGCAGATAATTGATAAGTTATAGTCTGCATTCTAAATAACGCATTGTAAATACAAATGAGATGAGAAACAAAGAAATGGTAGATAAATTGTAACCTTTTTCAATGACAAGAAGTAAAGAGGTCCCATCTGACGAGCATGATGCGGAAGTGTGACGTTCTGGGCGAAATCAAATGTATAGTGCATTGTACTAGGTATATTGCCGAGCAACGCAGCTGTCTCTAAGGCTGTCTTACTTTGACGAATCAAATGTCAGATAAAGATTTCTTTCTTCTTGTGCTAGTCTGAATATGTGTTGCATAGATGACGTCGCGGTCATCTTCTCAGATTCTGTCACGGCATCGACAATCTTCTTGCGATATTGTTCACATTTTGAACAAACATCGTGACGTGGGGAAGCAATTACAATATGCGGTACACAAGCTTTCCATATCTGACAAAATGTTGTTCTTTTTACACATTTTCCATTCTCAGATCGTAAACTCTCAACATAAATAGAATGAATGGCTTTCTTTGTCAAGGATGAATGTAAATAGATGGGTGGGAGATCACCACGTCCTCTCGGAGCAGCTGGCTGTGGTAAGCCATTCTCGTCAGCATACGACCGTAAAAATGTCACTATTTTCATAACATCGTCAAAATGGAGAGCATGAATAGGCTTTCGTCCAGTATTGCCATGTTTACGTGGAGATACGCCATGACCATGTACGTGTTCGCATAAAGCTCTCAGAGAAAAGTCTGTAATGTCATATAATATCATGAAAGCCTGACGGCATATTTTCTTTCCTTCAAAACAATACAAGTAAGTGGGGCGCTTTCTCGAGCCTCTCCTGGTGTCAGCGTCTGATATTTTTACTGTGTTTAAAATAGTCATAATTAATTGTTCTTTTTCTTCCTTTAACATATCTCTAATAGATAAGATATGGTCATTTATATCTGAAGAACTTAATTTTTCTGTGCATTTATTTTCGCAGTTACAATGTTTAAAAAGAACACAACTATCCCACTCAATAAATGGATTTTCATTTTCCCTATCGTGTGAACATTGATCAAGGTATTGTGCGACCAGAATTTCATTTCCTATCGATGTGTCGTTGTCTTCGGACTCTGTTATACAAATGTCACGATCAGGTAATGGTGTCTCATTTGTATTTGATAAACCAAAATGATCATTGAACAAATTGTTGATCTCCTAAAACGAAAATAAAATAAAGAAAACCGTAAAATAATAATTCAAATTATAAAATAATAATTCAAATTATTAAGTTGTAATTTTGATTTTAGACTATTACGGCCAAAATGGAATTTAGGCGTTCACGTTACTCTACTGTGAGTGTTACAAGGGGGACAATCCGTCTAGCTTAATATGTTTTATCTATGGTAGCACTCCACACTAAATTTCAAGTTTCTGCCGTCAATGTCCTACAAGCAATATGTCTGATTAATCTGATCCCAAACTACACAACCTGGAAAAAGAAAACACATTTTGTTAAGAACATATATGTCATACCATTGCAAATCTGTAATGAAATCATCCCATGTGCAACAGTCAGGCAGTTAAAAAAATTCCAATTCATTCCGTAAAAGCCAAAAATCTATAGTGGTCCGAGACCCAAAACAACATTTTTCGTCCCTCCGGCAAAAAATACCTGCAAATATACGGTCTACAAAAACTCTGTCACTGCTTTAGCAACTCCCTATGCATGCAAAATATCACAAAGAAATAGGTGCTTGGCCTTGTAGATTTTTTGCTATTGCTGAAAGTTTGTACCCCCCTGTAAAATTACTTGTTTTCATCGAGCATGCTGTTTAAAAGCAATGTTTACAAACAATGGCGACCTTGACATACATAATTATCAGCATGTGATTTCTAACCATGTTTTCGAATTTGCCAATGATCATATTACATGTCACAAAAACAAATTTCATGCTGAAAATGCATTTTAAAGACAACCAGTCATTTAAATCCACAATAGTCACTATATCCATGAAATCCTCCCTGGCCATTCGAAGCTGTGGCTTCATTTAGTGTGGTGTGCTGCCTATCGGCTGCATTTTTATAGACATAGATTCTACCTAGCCGTGTTTACACTTGTTTATCCACTGAGTTAAACTTCTTATAAAGATTTTATTTTAATGTAACTTTTATCAAACTGTAGAAAAATTATCATAATAAATTTACAATCTCAAATTGCTGTTTAAATCATCGTACACAGTGACAGAGTATGACGGTGAGGGGACCTTATACAGTAGTGGCTCTTTGATTAAAAATATTAGACAATGCATCTTCATAGCCATGCAGATATTTAATAATTGAAACATGTCAGATGTACATCTTTATACTTTAGAAAAAAAATCGGGGAAAAGGTAATTTAAATATTTTACAATGCCCATTTGTTGTTTTTATAAACACGTCTGCCTACAGTACAGTACAGACCTCATTCCGAGATCAGAAATCCGATTGTTACACATTTGCTTTAATTGTTTTCAGTCTTGAACTTACGTGTAGTTTCTTGCAAAACAAAGAACAAGTTATACCTGCAACTCTTCTCCACCCTCTGCCATTATGTTTAATAATTATACGATTTAACGGACCCGCCCACTTCATACATTGTTTACAACGCTCCATGGATACAACGGGTGCGCGCACTGTTAAAAACTGTACAGCGCTGATTGAAAACACGCGCGATATATAATTAAAAAAAAAAACGTGGTAATTTTGGCGTCAACTTTGACGTCGTGTTTCTACGATTACGTCATTTGACCACGATGTTGGAAATGTCATGTCACGGCTTATATGGTTTTACACTAGCAGTACAATATTATGTCAGCTTGTTACTCTAATGATCCAAAATAAGGTAGAATGAGGTAACTACATTTGTTAAGTGAAGTTCAAGAAAGTCAATTAAATCACAGACAGGAATAAATTTATGTTTGTTTATGCTGAATTTAAAAGATGATCTTAATACTGATTATATTACTTTAAAACTTGTTTATCAGGATCCGGTTGTTCAAAACATTGGTTAGTGTTAACCAGTGGTTAAATTCATTATCCACTGGTTAACTTTTGTCTGTTGGATAAATTCTGTTGTTCAAAACTTATCCAATGGATAAAATGCGTTATCCAGCGGTTAACTTTAACAAGTCGTATGACCACCGGATAATGCCCTTAACCAGTGGTTAGTCATCATCATTAAAACAGTAAAAATCATTAAAACTTGTTTAAAACAAGATTTTTGTTGCAAAAAATATGTTTATTTTTCTTAACTAGAACATTTCATATAAAATGCATAGGATTAAATTGAAACATTTCTGAAAAAGTGCTTTTAGAACCCTTTTTCAATCTAAATTTGTTGTTGTTGTAGTTTAGAAAATTCAGTTAAACAGTCATAACTTTCTTATTCTTTAATAAAACATACAAGTGTCAGTACTCATTTTCTTAGTTAGAACATTACTTATCTAATGGAAGTAATTTCAATTCAAAATTTGAAAAAAAGTTGTTTTGAATTTTTTCTTATGTGTGTCTAAGGGAAAAATAAATCTATCAATACTTTAAGGCCTCTGATATACTTTTTGTTTAATTCCAAAAACAAGAAAGCACAAAACGTGCAAAAATATTTTTTGGGAGCTTTTTGATTCTAATGAATTTATTATATGTAAAAAAATCAGCCATTTTGTTTCCAGAATCACTAACCAACCCTGTTGCATTGTGGTACTTAACCAGTGGATAAACACGCTATCCACTGGTTAGGTAGCCAGTGTACTATCCAACTATTGAACAATGAAATTTTATCCACTGGATAGCTGGCCGCTGGTTAAGGATTTAGCCAGTGGATAAGCTATCCATTGGTTAATTTTAACCAATGTTTTGAACAACCCGGTCCAGTATGATAATTGAACAGATTCAGACATTTTATGAAAATTAATTTGTTTGTATACCACATTGAGGCTATTGATAGTAAATGGGACTTTCTTAAATTCCTGTGTAAATTTTTTAGAATCTTTTTATAATTAAGAATGATGTCCCAATGGCGTTAAAATGTTAAAAGCGACTGTTTTGGAGTTGACAGGGGTAAAATAAGGGAACAAGCAACTTTCTGTGCCACTAACAATAAAATTAATTCACCTATGGAGGTGAATTAATTTTCTTGTTAAATCTTTGTTAAAGCCGATGTTTTAACAAAAAGATAACGCTATTGTTTTCTGAACAACTGATTTTTTTAACAAAGATATTTAACAAAAAAATTAACAACACTTTGTTAACTTAACAGAACTTTAACGTTAACAATGTTTGAACAACAGAATTGCTTAACAACACAATTTAACACAGAATTTAACAATTTGTTGTTAATTTAACTATGAAGTCATTGTTAAATATTTAACAAAAGTTTTGAACAACTTTTAGCTCGACTATACGAAGTATATGGAGAGCTGTCCTACTCGCCCCGGCGTCGGCGTCCGCGTCCAGATTTCAGATTAAAGTTTTGGTGCAGTAAACTATTTTTCACTATAACTTTGTCAATTCTTGAGATATCAACTTCAAACTTCAAATATATGTTCCTTATCATCAACCACATCTTATGTGACAAGGTTCATAACTCTAGCACCAATATTTTTATATTTATCTCCCCTTGAGCTTAGAATTTTCCTTAAAAAGTACTATGTTTTACTGTTACTTCTTTATTTCTTAAGGGATCAACCTCATACTTCAAATACATGTACCTTATTATCATCGCCATCTTATGTGACAAGGTTCATAACTCTAGCACCAATATTTTCAGATTTATCTCCCCTTGAACTTAGAATTTACCTCAAAAAATACTATTTTTTACTGTTACTTCTTCATTCCTTAAGGGATCAACCTCATACTTCAAATATATGAACCTTATCATCATCCACATCTTATGTGACAAGGTTCATAACTCTAGCACCAATATTGCAAGAATTATCTCTCTATAAACTTAGATTTTTTTACTAGAAAATTGTTATTATTGCTATAACTTTTTTAGTTTTAAAGGTATCTACCTCAAACTTCAAATACTTATTCCTTATCATCAATTACATTTTATGTGACAATGTTCATAAATTTTGAAGCAATATTTACAGATTTATCTCTCTTTGAACTTTAAGGATTTTCTTTAAGAAATATTATAACTTCTTTACTTTTTAAGGTATCTACTTCAAACTTCAAATATATATTTCTTATCATTACACACATGTTGTGTGACAAGGTTCATAACTCTAGCGTGACTATTTCTACAATTATTCCCCTTGATCTTGGAATTTATGTTAACAAATGCTATTTTTTTACTATAACTTAATACATAATTATACATAATTGATTTTTCTTTCATAGTTTTGTCCTCCTTACTGCGTCCAGTATTTTATTAGTCGAGCTTCGCTGTCTCCTGTGACAGCTCTTGTTTTAATGATAATTACATTTATACTTTTACATCACATAGTTTTTTTTTTCAATAAACTGTATGATATTTGGAATACATATTCAATGCATGGTGCTGTAGCCTTTATGGGCGATTACAACGCCCAGTACCTGTAAAACGGTAGTACACATGGTAAATTAATGTTCAAATTTATTTCTGATACAAGTTTAAGTGTTGTTAATGTATTACCTATGTGCAGAGGACCTATGTACTAATATGTTTCGTATGATGATAGGTGCCGTACTTTAATTGATCACGTATGTGTACCTACTGATATTTTAGATTGTGCAACTGGATGTAAGATTATTGTCATAGGCCTGTCTTAACAAAATTTACATTTCCAATTAATTTATCAAATGAAAATTTAAATGTCGCTGAATCCGATTAAACAGAGAACTGGAAAAAAGTTGATGATCATTTCAATATATGTTGCTAATGCAGGGGGTCGAACGTATAGCATTGCGATACTCCTTTAAGCGAGGTGAAATCATGCGATACGAACTAATGGCGGATTTATTCGTGAAAACGCATGTCAGAGTGAATGTATTTTATTAATTATTTCATAAATATTCGATTACAATTGCATATTTTGTATTGAAGATGAGAAGATAGGACCAACACACATGTGTGAGGATGTGATCGTGAATAAAACTAGGCGTTGTGTCCGGTTCGTTTCCTTTATTCAAACTGAATGTTTACATACATAGGAAATGACGTTACGTTAAAAACATAAGTAAACAATTCGCGCAAAAGCGACGTTACGTGACGTCGCGCCAAATCTACAACATTCTCCGGGCCTCAGAAATGCTAAATGTAATAATCGTCATACAAAAACATAAAGTAATGGAATTACTTATTTAAAATCATATTGAAATTGAGCACCATAATTAAAACAGCTATATTTAGATATATCACAAACAGATTGGCGCTATGTAAAGTCTCGTTTTGAATTATTTTCACTCGTCTATGTTTATACAAATTGAATTGTCTTTTCACGAAATATTAGCGGTATAGGATAAATATTTCAATAAGTATCGTAATGTCTATTCATCTGGTTTCTGGATAATTTCCAATGGGTACAATTTGATAATCGGTCGTGTAGTCAGCCCTCCGGATGTACGTATCCTCGCGGCCCTCGAAAACCCGTCATTTCCCGTTAAAAGTTCATCAACTACCGCAAGGCTCCACTGTAGCCTGGGTGTAAAGTCGTCTTGGACAATAACAACGTCACCAACCTGAATAGTCTGGTTTGTGGTACCACTCGACCGTTGGTATACTCTTAATGACGTCAGATACTCGTGTTTCCAGCGGTGCCAATAGTGATTAATTAGGTAACCGGGAGTATCGTTGGTTACCACAGTATTGTAGAATGGTAGAGTTGTCAGTCTGCGTCCATGTAGTAAGTGTGAAGGGGTGAGAGGCTCTGGATCATCTCTAGCAGATGAAACGTAGGTAATCGGTCGATCGTTCATCATTGCCTCTACTTCGGTAACTATCGTCTGCAGCGTTTGCAAATTAATGGAAGCTTTGCCGAGAACTTTCTTAATCGCTGTTTTCATTACACCAATTAGTCGCTCCCACATTCCACCAAACCAAGGTGCTCTTTTTGGAATAAACTGCCAGTGTGTTCCTCTATGTGTAAGGGCAGTATGAAGATTTTGCGAATTATAGAGTCGCCGAATTTGATTGGCTGCTGCATGAAAAGTGGTACCATTATCAGATATCATCAGTCTTGGTAATGATCGTCTGCTGATGAATCGTCTGAAGGCTAACATAAATGATTCTTCTGTAAGGTCTGGAACTATTTCTAGATGAATAGCACGGGTTTTGGCACATGTGAATAGACATATGTATACCTTCTGCTGAACTTGCTTTTCTTTAATGTAAAGTGCCCCTGTGAAATCGACACCTGTTACGGAGAAGGGTGGTTCGACGATTACTCTGGAAACCGGAAGTGGTGGGGGGTCTGGGGCGGTATAGGGTCTTCCTGTAACTTTTCTACAAATGACACATCTTCGGAGAACACTTTTCACGTGCTGTCTGATTGATGGTATCCAGTATTTCTGGCGTAGATGGGTAACAGTATGGGCGACACCTGCATGTAACTGATTGTAATGAGCGTCTTCTATTATCAGTCTGGTGACATGACTCTTTGGGGACATAAGGAACGGGAATCTTGTTGTCTCTGGCAACTGTGCGTTATGTATTCTTCCGCCACAACGAATACAACCGTCCTTGTCTAAATAAAGTCTTAGCTGTCGAATTATTGGACTGCGTTTTTTCTGGGATTTAAGATCTTGAATTACGTCTGGGAAATATTGTTGTTGGCAAGTTTCAATCAGTTTTCCTTCTGCTAATCTCAGCTCTTCTGTAGATAATGGACCACTTTGGCGATAATTATACGTCACTCTGCAGTTTTTAATGAAACGTATGCCGTAACACGTAATAACTTGTGAAAGCTGCTATATCTGTTTAACTCTAGAATTTGACGTAAACCAGAGTTACCTCTCTTGTCAGATACAATTTCTTCCTCTGAATTTTGTTCCGTCACCGTAGTGAAAGTGATTGCCCTAGTTTGTTCCAAAGTAGGCCATTTATTGTTGTGAATTAACCAAGTAGGTCCATTTTTCCATAATGTGCTTGATTGTAACTGGGTCGCAGTTAAACCTCAGGATCCGGTTGTTCAAAACATTGGTTAGTGTTAACCAGTGGTTAAATTCATTATCCTCTGGTTAAATTTTGTCCGTTGGATAAGTTCTGTTGCTCAAAACTTATCCAACGGATAAAATGCGTTATCCAGTGGTTAACTTTAACCAGTCCGAGGACCACCGGATAAAGCCCTTAACCAGTGGTTAGCCATCATCATTAAAACAGTCTAAACCATAAAAACTTGTTTGAAACCAGATTTTTCTTACAAATATATGTTTATTTTGTCTTAACTAGAACATTTCATATGAAATGCATAGGATTAAATTGAAACATTTCTGAAAAAGTGCTTTTAGAACCCTTTTTCAACCTGAATTTGTTGTTGTTGTACTTTCTTATTTTTTAATAAAACATACAAGTGTCAGTACTCATTTTCTTAGTTAGAACATTACCCATCTAATGGAAGTAATTTCAATTCAAAATTTGGAAAAAAAAATTGTTTTTGAATTTTTTACCTATGTGTGTCTGAGGGAAAATTAGATCTATCGATACTTTTAGGCCTTTGATATACTTTTGCTTTATTCCAAAAACATGAAAGCACAAAACATTCAAAATTAAGTCTTTGGGAGCTTCCTGACTATTAGAAGATTATTACTCATCAATAAATTAGCCATTTTGTTTCCAGAATCACTAACCGCCCTGTTGCATTGTGGTACTTAACCAGTGGATAAATACGCAATCCACTGGTTAGGTAGCCAGGGTACTATCCAACTGTCGAACAATTTTATCCACTGGATAGCTGGCCGCTGGTTAAGGTTTTAACCAGTGGATAAGCTATCCATTGGTTAATTTTAACCAATGTTTTGAACAACCCGGTCCTGGTTTATAAATCAGCGGGATTTTGATCTGTTGGACAATATCGCCATTCAATATCGGGGGTAAGTTTCTTGATTTCTTCGACTCTGTTCAAAATGAAGCGTTTAAGTGTTTTTGTAGATTTCAGCCAACTTAATACTATTTGACTGTCGGACCAACATGTGATTTTCTTGCACGTGAATGCATTTGACACGTGGTGGGTTACACGTGCACCGATGAGTGCTGCCATCAGTTCTAGTCTGGGTAAAGTTATCTCTTTTACAGGTGCGACTCTATTCTTTGCAAATACAAGGGTAGATGTATGACCGGAAGTAAGATACGCTACAGCTCCATAAGCACGTGCACTTGCATCAACAAACACGTGTAAATTAAAATCGGCAGAATTTGCTGTATTTTCAGTGGTGGGAAAATATGGTCTCTGGAACTTGGTCTGAATTACGCTGTTCAGGTCGATGCTCAAATCAGCCCAGGTGTTAATGATATCAACCGGAAGTGGTGTGTCCCAATCAAATTTCTTCTTCCATAGCTCTTGAACTAGTAATTTGGCGCGTACAGTTACTGGGCTAAGCAATCCCAGGGGGTCATATAATTTTGAAGTCTGTTTGAGAATAGAACGTTTGGTTGTTCTCTCAGAGTTTACTATCGTGCGCTGTACAAACGACATCTCGTCATTATCCGGGTCCCATAACATTCCTAATACCTTGACAACTTTATCCTTGTCCAAGACTTTTTCAGCTACTGCGAGTTCACATAATTTACTGGAGTTTGAAGTCCACGATCGCAGATTGAATCCTGCTTCGGACATGAGAGCACGTGCGTACCGGAAATAGGTAAGAAGATCCTGTTCTTGTTGAAAATTTGAAATTACATTGTCGACATACAGGTCTCTGGTAATTATATTAGCGGCAGGGTTACTTGCATTCAGGGTCATGTGTTTTAGTAATGTAGCATTGAGAATAAATGGGGAACATGTGGCTCCAAAAAGAACAACTCGAAATCTGTATGTCACAAGCTGGCTTTTGGGATCTGTAGGGTCAGATAACCATAGAAATCTGGTAACATCTCTGTCATCTTCGTGTAGACCGACATGTAGAAAGGCTTTCTCTATGTCAGTTGATACTGCATACAGTACGCTCAGCGCGGCTTTTGCAAAACCCGCGTGACCCCGCGGATGAGGTTTACCGCGGACGAAAATTGGCTCAGATATTGTCCGCGTGACCCCGCGGACAGAAAATTTCACCACCGCGGACATAAATCGTCGACTGAAACCGTTTCCCCCGCGGAACGCAGCGGTAAATTGCGGAGGAACGCGGCGGTCAAACACCGGTCAACGCGGTGGAAACCTTAAATTTTTAAAAATTAATTACTGTATTTAAACATCAGTATACGTACGTACTGTAACATGTACTGTACATATAACTATATGTTAAATTTGTTTTTTTTTTGTTTTCTTTTTTGTTGTAATAAAAGTACATGTACAAATGCAGTGTATTTCTTGTTCTTCTTCTTGTTATTGTGTTGGGTAATGTATAATATGTATTCGATATCAAGATAAATCATTGTCGTCGCAACTTCATGGTAGTGAGAAACTTGAAGTCAAATAATGAAAATTATGACATTTATGAAAAAGATACTACAACAATTTATATGCCAGCTTTTGTTTCTTATTTAAAAACTTTGAAAACGTAACCCTCAACAATTTATTCAGGCAATATTCCAGGACGTCTCTTTCAATTGTCAGATGCGTTTTACTGTTTCTGTTTATTTGCATGTTGATCATAAAGTCTTATATTTTATTTGGAACATTAAAAGAAAGCGTTTATTTCACCAAAATATACATTAAATGATATTCTCGATTTATCTAATTACAGGTGTGAGCGTAATGTATATGTTTTGAAGTTTGTATCAACTGTTGAAGTTTATTTTCATTTTTGTTTTAGAAGTTTGTTTGTTTGTTCTTTTTTATTTTTTTATAGATTTTTTTTTTGCAGAATTTTGTTAAGCTTGACGTTATACTTTTTGTTATTTTATTATGAACAGTATGCATGTACATACATGTATATAAGGCAAACAAGCACATGGCAGTTATTTTCTAAGAACTTCCATCGACCGATTTTCAAGTTAAAAATATTTCATTTTATTTTTATCTTAATATATTATTGTTCATAGGAATAATAGTATTTGTAGACAACATGTAGTTTTAAGTACATACAATTGAACGTAATTGCCTTTGCTTTCTTGTATTTATTATATTTAGTTTTCATTGAAATTAATTCCGAGGATAATAATGTAATTTTATAATTTGTAAAAGGCAGCCTAATTATTATTGTTTTAATGGGTTTCAAATTCCGTTCAAAAAAATTAACGTATAATAACATTTAAGGAGACGATTGTGGTCAATTTTCAAGTCATTGTGTAAAAAAGATGACGTTAAAAAATAATAAAACGTCTATTATTTTTTGGAGGTTAATTTATACTGACCAACTGACTATGGCGTTCCCCCGCGGGAAACGGGTGACTGATTTTATCGACGAATGAAGAACGATCGTCAGAATTTTGTCCGCGGTGGAAACAACTGAACACTGGGGATCGCGGGGGAAATTAGGCTTTCATCGCGGACGAACCCCCGCGTTTGTCCGCGATAAAAAAAATCGTCCGCGGTGGTATCGCGGAAAAAGCAAAACCCGCGGTGAGCGTACTGTATCTACCAAGCCGAAATCTTAACAGAAGGGTGGTTAGATCATTCAGCTCTGGAGGTGTGGATTCAAGGCAATCGTTTAAACTTGGGCTTCTTTCTGATTGGCGGCAACTACAGTCATAGACTATTCGTATGGGCGTTGTTGTGGAATTCTTTTCAACTCCATGATGTGGTATATAATGCACGCGTTTTGCTCTGGAACTTTCGTCTACTCTTTCAATGAAACCTCTATTTTCTTGTTCCTGTATAATATCTTTATATTTCTTCAACATTTGGGGCTTCTGACTTAGGCGTTTTATTGTACATTCTGTTCTTTTCTTTGTAATGTTATAGTTTGAAGGGAGGGTTTGATGATTCTGTTTCCATGGCAACTTCGCTTTGTAATTTCCGTCTGAGAATGAAATACACGATTTCTGGTACTGTTGTAGATAAGAAGAGGCATCGGTATCTTCACAGTCTCCTTTTGAATTGATTCTATATCCCAAAATCGAGTGAGGTCTGTCGTTTCAGATACGTGGGTTGCTATGACTTCCATAACATTGGAAGGTGGATAACTACTCTCTACATGAAGTGGACCGGATAAAAAGTAACCAATGCGGGAACTTACAGCAGTGGGTCCATCACCTCTAATAATTTTGTCGCCAACTATCTGCCAGTAAAAATCAGCACCAATTAATAGTGATATATCGAATGTGGTATCCATGGTAACAGGGTGAGCAAGTTTGAGTCCTTGTAGATATTTCAAGTGTTTGATGGAGTTGCGATATACATTATTGATGGGCTTTGCTATCACGGGAACAATCAATACTCGGATTGGGATTAACATTCCGTCGTATGCTTCTAAATTTATAGTTGCCGTATTGAGATGTTGAACGCTGTGCGCTGGGTCGCCGAACGCTGATAAATGTATAATATCTGTTCCATCAATATTCAATTGAAGTTTATCGGCTAACTTTTGGGTGATAAAAGATCTTTTGGCTCCTTCGTTCATTAGAACATTTGCTTCTGTATATCGTCCATTAGCAGTTTTTAATAAAACATCTGACTGGTGGGTTTTTGAAAATAATATAGTTGTATCACCGGCTTCAATATTAGTACTCTAGTTTCTATAACTTCCGGTTACGTCAGACTGTTGTGTTTCATGACTTCCTATGGCGGGCTTATTTGGGTAGTTCTGGGGAAATGTCGATTGGGAATGGCTGCATGTACTAGTTTGATGGCGACAACGCGACTTGGACGGACATCAAGACACTTGGTGACCTTTACTTAGGCAGTTAAAACACAAATGTTTTATCTTTATGATTTGAATGCGCGATTTAACATCACTTACTTTCTTACAGTCTCCCATATGTATTTCATCACAGTAAACGCACTTTTTCTTTGAATGCTCAGTCCGGTATAATGACTTCCGGTTGTCTCTATTTCGTGCGGCGGTATAAAATGATGCTGTTGGTATGAATCTTTCCTGTTTAGTGTTCTGTGACTCTCCCGCTTCCATAATTTCAATCTCTCTGTTTAGTGATTTGCGTAAGTCTGGAAGCGTCCAACTTCCGGTACCATGTTCCCTAAGCTAAATGACGTCTGGTTTCCGGTGGTAATCTTTCAAGGATTATTGGGATTAATAGATTGCCATATGTATCTTGTAGTTCACCTAATGATTCTAATCCCCGGATGTTTGTCTCAAGCATATCGTAAAATTGACGTAATTCTCGAATATCGTCTGCTGGTGTTGGTAACTTCAATAATGTCTGCATATATGCGGAGGTGATTTTTTGTTTCTGTCCGTAGCGCTTTTTTAATAAACACAATGCCTGACTGTAGTTTGCATTCGTTAACGCGAACCCATCAATAGTTCTTGCAGCATCTCCCTCTAGCAATGACTTCAGGTAACTGAATTTCTGCACGTCTGTTAAACTGGGATTGTTGTGCACTGATGATTCAAATGAGTCCCAAAATGTCTGATACGTCAAGAGATCACCACTAAATGTCGGCATAGAAATTGTTGGCAACTTGTGATGAAATGAATTAGACAGCGGTATGCAGGTTCTGTCTCTAATGTAGTCCATCTGCTCGCCGTGATTGCTGGATGATGGTTCTGTTCGTGACGAGTGGTTGATATTGTCTCTGTCTACGTCTCTTACGGAATCTGATAAAACCTGGAATTTCTTATATTTCTGTAGTTGACGTTTTACACGAATGTTGTACATAGCGGTTTCCTTCACCTCTACTGCTGTATTTTCTGTATCAATCTTGTTTAAAATGTCTGCATCAGTACTCGCCAAAGAAAGCATAATGTTTTCGATTGTTTTTATGAGAAGTTGAACATCTTCTATATTATTTTCTCTAATTGCATCTTCGATTTCCTGCAAATGTTCTGCTATAGTAGCTCTGTGGCCCTCTCTCACTGCTTGTAATTTATGAAGATTCATGGTGGTTTCGGTTCACGGCACCATAAAATGTGAGGATGTGATCGTGAATAAAACTAGGCGTTGTGTCCGGTTCGTTTCCTTTATTCAAACTGAATGTTTACATACATAGGAAATGACTTTACGTTAAAAAACATAAGTAAACAATTCGCGCAAAAGCGACGTTACGTGACGTCGCGCCAAATCTACAACAACATGTAATCAAAATTACAGAGGCTTACATTTATAATTAAAAAAGTTATTGAAGGTAAACTGACAGCAACTGATTTTGTGTCGGTGAATGAAATCGCTTAAAGCAAGCTTATATATATTAATATAGTTATTTTTTTTCTATAAGGGTAATCATAATTGAGTTGCATAGCAAGTACCTTTGTGCTCCGATATACATAGACGCTTACTGGTCAAAATATAGAAGTGTACGCTGGGTTTTGGTGCGATAAAATAACTGTACGCTGTTAAAGGTTTGACATTTTTTCATTATCACATCTGTTGTACATGTTTCCCTATGATTATAATAAAAGATCTACCATATATGTGTCCGTTTCCGGATTTCTGAAAAAAAAAATCTTCTTCTTTCCTGAAGGATTTACTTCAAATAAAAGTTTCGTATCACAATCTATATAAGTGTTACTATTTGAACTAAATTTTAATAGTTAGATATCTTCCTGTGATAATTAGGAGTTGGAAAAAGTAATCTTTACTTTCAGATCTTAGATACCTATAGTGCTTGTCATCTCTCAATTTTTTACAACGTAAAAAAAGTTACTGTATCTTCATTCCAATTTTTTCCGCCCTTTTCAACAACAAGAGTCTTGTTTTTTTGTACTGTATCTTGTATTTGATTTATTTTTCCTTTTGATCATGAAATTTGTGTTAGGTTTTTTCTGTAGTCTAATTTATCACTGAAGAATCGATGCAATTTAATTTTGTAGTTTATTTTCCACTTTCGTTCATCTATGATATGTCTAACATTTGATTTTGCTCTTGATATTGAGTAGGCAATACTGTATTCCTAGAAATTATTTCGAGCTTATTAAATTAGCGCTTTTCGCGTTGAATACATTTCCGCGAATGTTTGTATTCGAGAAAAAGTTGCATGTAACAAATCCGCGAACATTTGTAGCGTAGAATTTCTACAGCACACATCATTCACATAAACTTGCAACTTAGGCAAGAAAATACAGCAGTTCACACACATTTAGAAAGGCACTAGCTTGCTTAAGATGGCAACAGAAGCATATTAAAAAGCCTCTTTAGGAACTTTAACAATAGTAAATAAGTATATGCTATCATTCCTTATATCATGTTGTACATTTCATTCTGCAACTTTTATATGTTTTATATGCATTTTTTAGTTTATTTTTATTCAAAAAGTAAGAATACATGTAGTAGGAATATTTGTAAAAACAATAGGAGTATGGCACAAAGTAGGCAAAAGTAGGACTAATTTCAAGCCTGTATAATAAAAGTGCCACAATGCCTTTAATGTTGACCTTTGACATTAAATAAATAGGGGTCATCAATTAGGCTTTTGTCAATTGTTTTTTTTTAATTTTCTAAAAAAAAAATATATATATATATAATATCTAATTCATAGAGGAAATCAAACCAGTATTTTTTTCATTGCAAAAAACAAAACAAAAAACAAAAAAAACACAACAACACAATTTATTACATGTATTCCTCTCAATGTATTGAATGAACATTGGAACGGATGGGAGGCGTTTTTCTCCGACCAGTGCTTGTGATACAATAGTAGATCCACTTCTCATATGTTGTTGTTTTAATTAAAATTATTTTTTCCTGACAAAATAAATATGTACTTAATAATAGAAAAAAATAGAATTTCAAGTTTCTGTGCAATACCTTATCTAATTTTGCTATTTAATCTTTGTGAGAAAAGAATATTTAACTTAACTATATCATTAACTATATCATAGTATAATACATTAACTGACACCGTTGTTTTAATTGACATTGTTATTTACATATGATTAACATACAAACACTAAACTTAACATTTCATCAATATTGAATAAGAATGTACTGTAATGAGAAAGTCCCCGTCGCCACAGAAAAACACACCAACATTTGTGCGTACAGTTGGTTTATCGAACCAAATATTAGGCGTACAATATGAAACTGGAAATATTTTCGGATACATATGGAAAACTATTCTTGTATATCGTTTTGTTATCAAAGATAAACATGATGTCGGGACTTAAACTAATCGAATATCTCGTTTTAAAACTATTGATACATTATTCGTTTGCATGTGCATATCAGGTTGACGGTTGAATTTGCAGCAACAAATACCTCAATAACTTCCTCAATACTATTAAATATAGTATTTTATTTTGACGATCATGCACAATTATAAGTTCTGAACAGATGTGTGAAATTGGCGGCCCAGCGGCCTGTCGGCCTGGCGGCGTGAAGTTGGCGGCCCAGCGGCCTGGCGGCCAAAAAAATTAATGTTATAGAAATGTTATTTTAACAATAAAACGGCATTTGATGAAGTTTTAAAGATAATTATTGTTATTTAAAGGATATATAAAAAGAAAAAATCACTTTCAGAGTTTTTTTTTATTTTGTCATTTTTGTGAAGTTGGCGGCCCAGCGGCCTGGCGGCCAAAAAATTTAATGTTATAGAAATGTTATTTTAACAATAAAATGGCATTTAATGAAGTTTTAAAGATTATTATTGTTATTTAAAGGATATATAAAAAGAAAAAAAATCACTTTCAGAGAATTTTTTTATTTTGTCATTTTTGTGAAGTTGGCGGCCCAGCGGCCTGGCGGCCTGGCAGCCAAAATTTTAGTGTGCTGGAAATGTTATTTTGACA